AGTGAAGGAGAGGCTGATACCCTAGGGGTGCCAATGGCAACAGACTTGACCAGTGCTCCGACACCAGTTGCTTGTTGATGTCCAACATTCTCAGCATTTGAGAGTGAGGAAGGTTTCTCAGAATCCCCTGGCGTCGGGGATGGAGTCATGGGAGTTGAAGGAGATGGGATGACAATTGGTGAACTTGCAGAATGACCAGGGATTCCAGCTTTTGGGCGAGTCACTAGATTCTGCTGGTCAGCTTGTCGAGAAGAACGTTGTGAAATTTGAGGAGATGCAACCTGAGGAAGTTGGGTGGTTGAGGAAGTAGGAACTGGAGATCCTGCTTTCAACTGCTGAGGGGAATCTGTGAAGGTATGTTGATGAAGAACCACTCTTGGCGTAACATCCATCCCCGCTCTCATCTCCAAGTTTGCATCATGGATTTGATGAACCTTTGGTGTTTGTTCTTCATGCACCTGCAGCTGTACCAGAAGCTTCTGCTTTTCTTGCGGCTCTAACTGCTTCTGTAGCTGCTGCTGCATGACTTGGTGCTGTGACTGCAACAGCTTCGCTTGCTGTTGTGATCGCTGCTGATACTGCTGCCATTCCAGCATCTGCTGCTTCTGCATCTGTTGCTGCTTAAATTGTATGCTGAGTAGATTCTGATGCATTTGCTCTTCTTGATCTTGTCTTATATGCTGGTATTGAAGCACACCAGAACTCGAATGAAGGGAATCAATTGCCTGTGTCGTATTAACCCCACTCTGTAATGACAAGGTACTCTTGTTCGCTTGTTGGGGACCCCTGAGAACTGACTGTGGATGCTGCTGAAGCATAGGTTGTGTTGAGTGATGAATGGAAGATTGTTGATTCTGTTGAAGACTAGATAGATATGATTTCACTACGGAAGGTTTGATAGGATTTAATATGTGCTTAACAGATTTCTGAGAGGACTGCGACTGAGTTGGTTGCTGTTGCTGCTGTTCTAGTGGAGATTGCACAAGTTTTGGGATATATCCTTGCTCCTGCCACTGCTGTTGTGGAACTATCTGTTGCATTTGGCTTTGAGAATTAGAAATCATATCAAGGGTCTGTGAAGTTCCAGACATATTTTGCATGTTTGAAATTTGTCCAATTATTTTTGGAATAGAAGCCTGGGTTAAACCGGAAGAAGTAGGTACTGCAGATGAAAAGCCAGCAGAGTTTTGAACTCCAGCAGGTGGAACTTCATTCTCAATGTTCTGTGCCAACACTTGTTGGTGTGATTGAGATTGATTTGCTAACAACGGCATAAAGAGTGATTGCCCTTGATTCGGCACTTGGGGTTGCATACCAAAAGACGCTACTCAAATAAAACAGAAAGAACACCAAATAAACATTTCCCCATAAATAACCAAGTGTCAAACCAAGATCATAAACACCATCACACACACTCAACATTTGATCCGTTGCTTTAAAGGAATGAAAATTGTTAACAAAAAATGTACATAGCAACTAGATTCGAGTCTTGAATTTACACGATACAAGCAGATACACATATCAACAATGAATCTCATCTCAGGTAAGAAATGTCATGATCAAGGAAATGGCAGAACTTCCCTCTCATTATGTCGAATACAAAAAACTATTCATCCATTTCATAAAGCACGCATACCAGGAGACAAAAGAGGTAGTTGACAGAGTAACTCAAATCTATGGAGGTGCATGAAATAGGGGCACAGTTTTCATAGTTGTTTACCTGGATCACGGGGCCTGTCACTATTACTACCAGAGTTCAATTGCAAATATTTGGCCATTGTATTCTGCGAATTGGTCTCCAATGTGTGCAAATACAGATTAATTTTGCTCAGATAATCCAACTGCACAGAAAATCCAGTCCATGGCACTCTAAACTTAGAATGCATTACATATGTAAGTACCCTTACATGAAGAATTAAATTTACGGCCAAAGAGAGTTGTGGAAGTACCTTACTAGTGGCAGAAGTGTAAACTGTTTCCTCAAAGCTTATAGCAATTTTCTTGACTTCTTGTAATGCCGCTTGACCAGCGTCAGGAAGATGGTTCCTCAACAATTCAATTCTTTACATGTTCATAACAAATAAAAGTGAGTTCATGATAAATAATTCAACGCGGCAAGCTATCTAAAAAACAAAAACACATACGTCCTGTTGACAACTCTTTGCCTTGCATTTGGCCATAGCCGGCTCCTCCAATCCATGGAGGGCTCTCCAGCTTGAGGCGTCCTCCGATTGCTGGTATCCATCGAATGCAAGAAACCCGACCTACTGTCAAACAAAGAAAACACAAGATTGGGCAACTTTCAAATGAAACACACTTAAGAGGGCTCATACATTGTACAAAATTCGATAAATTTGAAGGATGATAGAGTTTGTAAATATGAAGGCATTCTTGTTCCATAAAATATATCCGTTTAAACTGATTTTAAACATGATTTTGGTTTAGAACTTACAATTTTCACATACAATCAGAGGACAGGAAAAAAGAAATTAACAAACAATGACAGAACCCTAATCGATTAATGTTCAAAAGAATATAAAATCAACCCCAAAGAAAAACCCTTTTTCTTGAGAAGACTTGAAGATTGGGGAAGTTCAATTGAGACCTACGTAAAGGGCACACAATTTGTAGAAAATTTGATAAAATTATTCGATGGATGATATAATTTCACATTTTTTAATGCATTTTATTATTTTAATGTCAGAAAATGTATCAATTTTAGATGGTTTTTAACATGATTCTGTCATGAAAAATCCCCAATATAAAATCCATAAATTCATAGATGAAAACCAAAAACCCAAACTTTCGATTCGTATGCAATTGAAACGAAATTACGATTTACAAGAATCAGAGGACATAAAAATGCACAACAATGGTGTTTTCGGTTACAATTCAAAAGAAAAAAAAATATTTGACCAAAAAATAAAAATAATAATTACCGTTTTCTTTGAGAAGAGTTGGAAATTGAAAATTGCAGGCAGCTTGAACTGGAGCGATATGAAAATTCAAAGGAAAACCGCAGAAAGGGAGGGATCCGGATCAAAGACTCGAATTCAAATTGATGCGTGCGGAACAAGTATTTTTTTTCTTCAGTTTGTTTTTTGTTTTTCTCTATTGGAAATGCCAATATTCTATCTATTTATTATTTGGGTAATGCTAGGCTGACTTGGCTCATTTTGGAGGGGTTCTTCGGCCGATCGGATCATGTGGCTGTCCGGTCAAATACCCATCGGATGAAACTCCGTCCAAAATATAATTAGTTCGGTCTAACTCCGATAATTTTTCCGACTAAAATTTTGTCCATGACCTAAATTCATTAAGTTACAATTTTTCTAAGCATTAAAATTAATCAAGCAATATTAATGTGATAAACTTTAAGTTCAGCATGACCCATTACCAAAAAGCTGATATTGTTTTGCACTTAACGACCTAATACGAGGTGTGGGGTTATATCATAAAAGTTTTCGATATATTATTCCAAACTTAATGACACACCCCGTCCCGAAGGAGGGCATGCTGGCCGTCACGTGAGAGTGACATAACCATTTACACAGTTCGGAAGCTTTAAAATATACAACTTCTAAGATGAACCACCCGAAGGTGAGTCCTCATTTGGTCCATTCTGTTAGAACACCGTTGAATTTCCTCGTAGTCACCACACCTTTGCAATACTTGAACCTGGAGGGGCGCAAAACCAAAATTGAGTGGGTCAGTAAAACAAATCTTTTCCAAGTCCAAATACTTCTCAAAACTTTGTAACCCCTCTCCGTAAAACTTGTATACTTTCCCAGAAAATAAACATATATACGTATGTATAAATATGTCAATCAAGCTCAAGTATGCCAATCCTACTCAAAGGTATGTCAATCATGCTCACAGGTATGCCAATCCTACTCAAAGGTATGTCAATCATGCCTCATAATGATATGCAAATGTTCAGGTATAAACCATATCAATAACAGATTACTGGCAGCCGGAGTCACCTAAAGTGACCTGTACGGCTGAATCTAGAGCTCAAATCTCAATCTCAATAACTAAACAACTGAACCTGACCACGATGTCGGAACCACCTAAAGTGGTCTGTACGACAAGGACTGGGTGTGACGTATATATATACGCTCAAGTGCTACGATCACGTGAAGGCTGGGCGAATAATCGCGGGTCACCTACGAGTCGGAACCACCTAATGTGGTCTGTACGACAGGGCTGGGCACCTAGCTTGGATCCAAGCTGAGCATAAGGTGCGGTGAGGTGAACATCACGTGAAGGACTGGGCCCTGCTCAGGGCGGGAGCACTCACACGGAGGGTGCAGGTTATGAGCTCGCTAATCATCTCAAACTACTGCTGAATGTAAAATACGAATAACCTTTACCTGGCACTTACCTGTGCATCCACAGCACCCAATACACATATATATATGTATGCCACTACTAATACATGTGATGATGCATAAATGACAAACATATGGTGCATGGCATGAAACAAATAACCTTTTCTAACCACTTTCTGGAAATATAAACGTATATAGGTATATATGTATTTCCATCGTAATTCAATCGTATTCCAAACGTATTTCATACGTATATCAGATGTATATCAAATGTAGCTTACCTGGGCCTCCTCAGCACCATGCAACAGTATGCATAATTATGGTAATGCACATATTAAAACATGATGCATATATGACAGGATATTTAATTCGTATTTCTTTTAAAATACGTTTTCTGGGAAATACGTCAAGTATATATATATGGAAAACAAAACTGCCCACTCACATATCACATCGACGTCTCGTAGGTTCCTGAGCCTCCCCTAGATTTGGTTACATTCTTCTTCTGTATAATTTTCACCTATACAAAAAGTAACCAAATTGACGTTATTTAACGCGCATACACCAAACATTCGTCAATAACTTTCTCATACGCGTGACAATTTTCAGAACTCAATTTGGAGCTCTCACGCGCCCCCACGCGCCCCATCTAAGCGCTGCCCACGCGCGCGTCTTCTTCCTCGCGTCGCCGGACTGGTTTCGCCGGAGTTGGTGTTTTGCCGGAATTTCTGGGTAAATTTCAAAGTGTCATAACTTCTTCATTTCTTAACCATTTTCGACGTTCTTTATATCAAAATGAAGGTATTGACGAGACGAACACATCCATACCTGCCTTGACCCCTAACTCGCCGTGGATTCGCCGGAAAAAGCCTCGAAAGCTCCGGCCAAACTTTGAACTTGTCATTCTCCTTGTTCTTACGTCCATTTTTCACGTAATCTATACCAAAATGAAGCCCTAATCATAATCTACCATGTTGGACTAGTTTTAGGGCCTAAAAACAACGGAATCAAACTTTTCCAAAAATACCAAAATTCGGCCAAACTTACAGTTCGTGATCCCGACGTCCAAATCCTTCAAACGAAGCACTCCGAGCTTCCTTAGGACCTCACCAAGCTTCCTACAAGCTTCAAAATCCCAAAAACATCAAGTTTTTACGGGTGCATGAACAGTGCACACGCACAGTGAAATTGAAATCCATGTTTTCCGAAGTGAAACTCACCTGAAATTGGTACCATCGTGCTTGTGTGGTCCTCAGGAGTACGATGGTGGTCTTAGATCCTTCGTTGGTATAGTTTTAGGGTGGTTTGTGGGTGGTCTGTGTGAGTTCGAAGGAGAGAGAGAGAGAGCTCTGAGAGAAAGAGAGATTTGTGAGGGAGGAGAGAGAGAGAGACAAGGTACGGGAATGAGGGAGAGATTTGAGGGATGTGGGATCCTACACAATCCCCAAATCATCAAGTTACAACATATTTTACGCCCCTTAGTCCCGTTTAAGGGCATTTTCATAACTTCACGTCTTCGGAATTAAAATTCCGGGACGGATTGTGACACTTAACCTCGTAATACAATCTGTTGGGTTATATAAAAAATGTTATCAGTGATATCTTTTTTTTATCAAACGATATATTAGGAGTATTAGAGCCAACGGAGTCCGAACCCACGCCGTGATGCAAGGACGACAATCCTCTCCCTCACTGTGTATTATTTTGTTCTATCTCCAATGTGAGACTCTGCCAAATGTGATTGCATAAGGAGTATTAGTATTGATGGGAAATTCTAAGGTTTGATTTCCAGACCACCTCACCCCTACAGATCCAGACACAAAAAATCATTCTCTACCCCCACACCCCCCTAATTTGTCATGCTATCCTGACCAATTTTCATCGCCCTCCCCTCACACCATATGGATGAGAAATTTTTCATTGTGACTGGATCAGGTACATCACGTATTTTTATATAAATGATGAAAAATTATATTTTAAGTTATTAATTTTTTAACACCACCCCATCTTTCGATCACATTGAAAAATCTCTCCACCCGGATTGGAGGTGCCGTACCCAAGAACCTCTCGTATCTGATGTGTTATGAGAGGTAGATGAGTGTGGGATCCATTGAGAGACCCACATTGATCAAGGTGTCAAAATGCGTTGAGTGTTTAACATGCATTACTACTGCTAGCTCTTCTCATCACTTGAGTTCGACCACATCATTCATAGAGGGTTTTTAACAAAAACATATGACTCCATGTATTTTGATCTCACCAGACTCCGCCAAGTTCAATTACTGTTTACTTGGATATCCCCATCTTATAAACAACCCAAGGAAAATATTGACACAGTACTCTTTACAAACAGACGTCACAAAGCGGCTTGAGGCCGCATTTTCAACAAAAACCAACAAGAAGTTAAATAAATCCCCCAAGATTATTTCCCACAACAGACTAAGGTAAGTTCCTCCTACACATGTCTGCCTATAGACAATCAAAAAACTGCTTCAAACATCACAGCGAAATATCATCGCCGTTATCACAACAATCCTCGGAATACCTTTGTTCAGGGATAAATACAGGATGGATCAAGCAGCGCTCAAGCAGTTCTCCCATGTCCCGTACTTTGAGCTGAAACTTCCTCCACCGCTTTGCTGCGCATGCTCAGAAATAACTGCACGTGCACAAACATCCCAAGTCCTTGCTATCTCCCCAAGGGACATGGGCTGTGAAATGCTTCGTAGAGATATGCTAAACATCGATTTGGCCTTCACAGAAAGATCTTCATACTCTTTACTGTAAAACATTTACAGTCAAATTTAGGCTTTTAAATTTAACACGTGAAACCAAAATGAGTACATAAAACTCTTAAGAGAATGAAAAAATAATTGAGACATTCTGTCTCATCGTCATGGCACCACATACTTCTAGCGAGACAAGATATAAATTGAATTGGGAAACAGAGCATGCATCTAATGAGCTTTTTTTTCATCGAGAAAAGATAACATTTGAAATAGGATTTCACCAGGATGCACAGTAGGAAATGCCAGGTCTCTTAGGCCTAGTTTGGTAATGAGGTGATTCTGAAAAAAGTTGGTATCAAGAAAAGTTGGGAACAGTTTTTGTATTTGGTAAACATTCAGCTTCAACTTTTTTTCACAATTTTGGATAAAAAAAAGCCAAAAACAAGAAGCTGCAAAACCCAGCTTTGAAAAACCGGCTTTTTTTCGCATCTGCTTTACATAAAAGTTTACCAAACACTATAATACTGCCCCTTTTTTTTTTTTTTTTTTTTCCCAAAGCACTTTTACAAAAATGTTTACCAAACACTCTGCTGCTTTATTTCACAGTTGCTTATTCTCACAGCACAGCAGAAACATCTTTTTTTCAAAGCACAGCAATACCAAATCAGCACTTAGTTTATGTAACAGCAGCAACATCTAAAGTCAGAATCCTTATTTTCTCACCTGACTTCAACTGGAAACTTGTCCAAGAGTATTGGAGAGCAGTTGGGGTAATTTGTGGGAACAAGCAGTCTTAATGGCTGAATTGGTGACTGCAAAATATTAAAAGCCAAGTAAATACAATACATTTAATATTTTGAAGAAATGTAAAAATTCATGGCATTAACATTTGAGAGCCCACCATTTGTGCTGAAGCATACTGCGATTTCAAGCTTGGACTGAGAGCCACAGCATCAAAAGAGCACTTGACAAGAGTCCCCTCACCCCCTTCAGCAGCGGCTGCACTAGGGTCAACATCTTCATCACTGATATCAACAACTGTGTCGATAAGCAGCCGATTTATTTCTCTTATTTCTTCCAGAAGAGCATGATTAGCCTGCAAGATAAGCCTCACACTTATGTCCAATGAAGAAGCAGGAAAAGCCCATTTTTTGTCAGACATTGAAAAGCTCCGAGAAAGGAATTCTTTAAATAAGCAACATTCAGTCCAAATCAGCAATGGACAGACAGTGACATGCACACACCCCAAAAAAATAATCATTCAACAAAAGTTAGCATCTTGAACAGTTAACTCGCAGCCAAATGCCCCTCAGAATGTACCAATTGCCAAAGCACTCCAGTCACATCAAGTGTATGCATGGGTGCACAGCAAAACAACTAGCTTTGAAGTCTTGCTGGAAATATACATTTTTAATGTGAAACTTTAATTATTTTAAGTTTGCCTAAAGTTAGAGCAGCTGTAATTTCTAGTGAGTATAAAAAAAAATGATTAATACCTCAACCCTAGGCCTCTTGATACGAGATGTTGCAGTTGACTCCAGGTCAGATGTCTCTGAATTGATCAACTGCTTGAAACTTTCATTCATACTGCCAGCTGAAGACACAACATTTAAGGGCATGGCACTAGCGTAGCGCCTCATCTTCCTAGTCCCATTTGATCCATCATGAGTCATAACGTTTCTTGCTTGCAGACGACACTTTGTCATCGCAACCAAATCCTCACCGACTGCAGCTCTAGATCCATTACCTGGGGCTGACCCTGCTATCCTATCAACCATACTAACAACTGAGCCAATGTCACTGACAGATGCACTCAATGCATTAGGCGACATCGATTTCACCTGCAAGTTCAAAATACAGAAATTTAATTTAAGCACAAGTGAGGGAAGGAAAAGACTAACTTAGATGGCAAGCACTAAAACATCATTACAGTACTCAAAAAGAGAAATATGTAATAAGAACCACTTTACTAACCGCCTTAATCAAGCGTTCAAGGGGCTGCTCGGTAACACTCGACTTGCCAGAAATAGTTGACAAAGCATTAACATGACTACCATCTGGTACACTAAATTCAGCAAGCAAAGGAGATGCCGATATCCCAGGGGTGCCAATTGCAAGGGACTGGACTGGTGCTCCCACCCCAGCTGCTTGTTGATGTCCGATATTCCCAGCATTTGGTAGTGAGGAAGGTTTCTCAGAATCCCCTGGCATGGGCGATGGAGCCATGGGAGTTGAAGGAGATGGGATGACAAAAGGTGAACCGGCAGTTTGCAATGGCGTTCCAGCTTTCGGGTGAGTCAGTAGATTCTGCTGGTCAACTTGGGGAGAAGAATGTTGCGAAATTTGAGGAGATGCGGCCTGAAGGAGTTGGTTTGATGAAGGAATAGGAAATGGAGATCCTGATTTCAACTGCTGATGAGGATAAGCACGCTGGCCTGAGGACATATGTTGCTGAAAAACCCCTGGCTTAACACCCATCCCCTGTCTCATCTTCAAGTCATTTGCATCATTCATTTGATGAAGCTGTGGCATTTGGTGTTGGTTCGCCTGCATCTGCGCCGGAAGCTGCTGCTTTGCTTGCTGCAACTGTTGCTGCGGTTGCTGCTGCTGCTGTTGCTGTTGCAGCTGCTTCTGTATCAGTTGCTGCTGCATTCGCTGTTGATACTGCTGCTTCAGTTGATTCTGAAGCATTTGCTGTTCCTGCTGTTTTAATTGCTGGTGTTGAAGCATACCAGAATTTGACTGAAGGGAGTTAATATTTGGCTGAAGCATACTAACCCCATTCTGTGATGACAAACCATTCATGTTAGCTAGCTGGGGAGCACTGACAGGAGTTTGTTGGATAGATCCCACCGGAACTTGCTGCAAAGAGTTCAGTGCATTTCCCTGTCCTGAATCCAAATTTGTACTCGGCTGCAATGAATTCATCATGTTCTGCTGTGCTGTTGAAACCCCAGATATCGAAGACATTGAATTTTGCTGCAAACTTGTCATATTGTTCTGCTGCATTGTTGGCACAGAACCTTGTAAATTCATTGTTTGCAACTGCGGGTTCATTTGGTTTTCATGAGACTGCACTTGAGGAATTTGAGACTGCGGCTGCTGCATGGAGTGCAAATGAGGTGGGGGCAGCTGCCCTTGTTGCAGAGGAGGACCTTGCTTCCTCGGTCTATTTGTATTAATAAAATTTACTATCTGCTTCTCATATAAACCCAACTTGTCTTTCAAACCAGGTGAAATGTTACTCTTGGAAACCTGTAAGATTGATATGAGGCGCTCTAACATGGTTTTGAACATTTTTAGCTTCTCAAGCTGCTCTGACTTTGGTTGTTGTGGAAGAGAATCGTGCTGGCAAACAGAAAGAACAGACGTCAGTAAGCAAAAGAATGGCAATATAAGGAGTAACAACTTTGTTGCAAAATCTTATTAGCATTATTGGTGAGGTAACAATCCCATGTAGACGGTCTACATGGGTACAATAATTAAAAGGGAGATCAAGGTAGAATCTATCAAAGAGCAGCACCACAATAACCTAGCAGGGAAAGCCCTGCTTATTGCTAAAAGTTCAAGCAACAAATTATGAGAGAAGAAAAAATTGAATTGATTACATACCTGCTGAAGTTTAGTAGCAATTTTGTGATACATTTCACTTAGTTCGGGTAAGTACTTTTCCTTCATGACTTTGATCTGCAAATGAAAGTTATAAATACAAAGATGATTAGAAAGAACTCTGCCGCAGCTACATGCTTGCCGACACCATCATGACATTAATGCCAATGGAAATGAGCCCGTGCATGCAACCATGAATTCAGACAGCATGAATTCATGTATGCTTGTATCTAATGAAGCAAGTTTTAATTAACTCCCAACCGATGGTTGCTTAACAAAGCTGCCCCACAAGGAATCTTAACTAGCATGTAATTCTTCAAAATCCCCATTCAAGGCAATTTTGGCATTAGTATAATTATTTTCCAGTAGCTCTATTCCCAACCCTCACGCCAAATAATTTGTATTTTTATATTTAGATGTTGTATGTGAAAGCCATCAAATGGACAAGAAGTAAGGACATTTTACTTTTTGATAGACCTCCTCTTGCCAATCACCCCCATTTGCATGTCCAGTCTGAGCTGAGGAATCTAGAGAAGCTACAAAACATAAAGAGATATATGTCAATGTTTGCACATAAAATGAAATTTGAACACGAGGGATAAAAATGAGAAAGAAACAAAATAAGCATTGCATGCAGAACATTGATATGGAAAATTATCCTTCCCAAACAGTTGAAATGTATTTTTTGTAAAACAAATATAAATATCATTCCATACATCATAAGCAATCTAAGAACAGACAAGAAGCTTCATGGGCCAGTGGAACAGGACCATGCATGCACTAGATTGGGGAAAATATATCCATGGGCAGTGACATTTAGTAAACACAGTAGTCCACCGAAAGCTCTTTATCTATAAACCAATAGAAGCAAAACTGAAGAATAAAAAGTAAAAACCCAAAGGTATGAAAGGCACTTCAGGTGCAATTTTGCTCCAACTTTCTGCTTATGAGGGCAATTACTTTTTTATGGGAAGACTTCAAAGGTTTCTATTTCTTTGTTTAAAAGTAATTGTGGAGTTATCAAGAGGAAATGGGTTAACATTATGTCAGAACAGCGTCTCTATCACCACAGCTCATGAAAAAGACAAAGATACAAAAACTAAAATCAAAGGCGACAGAAGCTTCAGCCTTCACCAGTAAACCACTCGAAAGAACTCTGATTGTAAACATTAAGCACAAGAGGTGAAAGGTAAACTTATAGTAACTAAGGTGGTCCGTATACGGTATACCTAATTTGAGGCGTAGGCGCAAAACTCGTAACTAGGCTATTTATATATAAATATATATATCTATTCTCTTATATATATATATATATATAAGACTAACTATTTCTCTTGGTCGGGTTTAATAACAATTTCCTTATCCTTGTGGATTATTATTTGCTATAATTATTTCATTTCCTTGTGGGATTTTACTTTTAGATTATATAACCACGTCAATCTCTATTACTCAACCCTAGTTCAGCCTATGGATATTCAGAATACAAGACTAACTTTGAATTTATTTTTCTTTCAGTTTGGGATTTAGCTTTTTAACTCCCCTCCCCTGTGCTGCACCATACAAGACTAACTCTGTTCCTTTTATATAAATCCAATTACCAAATATAAATCACAAAATTTTATGCCCACTACCACTACACATATCAACCTCTAAAAAGAAAAGCAAGAAATCAAGAAAGACCAAGGCTTGCTTTAGCTCTATAGTTTAATGTGACCAGATATTTGCATAGGACTCTGGTTCTCCATTCCGTGATGGTTAGATGCTGAAGTACTGACAAAGAACAGAAATCCTCATGTTTGACAAAGAGGTATGATGCATCTGTTTAAAATTGATGGTGACAACGAACATGTGGTGGGAAGATGGAACACACGTAATTCGCAAGATAGCCAGGCATAAAAATTTATATTGACCAAGTACAATGCACATCCATGTTACATTTTAATACAAGAAGTCATATATGTAAAGATAAAATTCCAAAATTAGACTACTTCCATAGAGAGTCTAGACACCTACATCTGGCAACCACAACAAAATAATATATTTACCAAAGTCATCCAAAAAAAAAGTGTGCTCCCATAAAAACATATAATAAAGTCCATTTTCATAACAAAATCAGATTAATGACATAAAAATGACAGTGTTACCTATAATACAATATGATAAACAGACCCAAATCACATAATACAAAAGTAAAATAAGATTCCATCCAAAACGTGCACCTATGATAATCCAGATATCATGAAAGCACATGCATAAAATCAGGAAAGTACATAAGTGCAAAAATCTTACTCGATGATGTCTCAGGGAGGGGTCTCTGAGATTGATATAACTGCTTTTGCTGATCCATTACGTTTTGAGCTTGAAGCATGGTTCCTGATATCTGACCTGATGCTTGAAGCCTTTGCTGCATATCTCGTTGCAGTGGATTTGACTGCTGTTGCAAACCCATTTGTTGCATCTGTGCAGGCTGTGGTTGAATCTGTGACATCATTTGTTGCTGTGATGCTTGCGGTTGTGACTGCTGTCCTTGAGTCGGTAACATGTTAGATGCATTCTGATGTTGTTGCTGCTGCACCTGAACCTTGGATTGTTGCAACAAGTGTACAGAGTGCTGATTTGGTTGCATACTAGAATTACCACTTTGAGTTCCAAGGTGCTGCTGTTGCTGTAATCCGGTAACATTACTCTGAGAGCCCAACTGCTGCTGATGTATATTTGAAAGGTTGTTTTGCTGCTGTTGCTGTAACCCAGTAACATTACTCTGCGGGCCCAATTGTTGCTGATGGATATTAGAAAGGTTGCTTTGCTGAGCCATTAACTGCTGCTGCTGCTGCTGCTGCTGCTGTTGCTGTTGCTGTTGCTGTTGCTGTTGTTGAAGGTTTAAAAGATTATTCTGCTGGTTTAGTAACCTCTGTTGTTGCTGCTGCTGCATATCCCCGACATTATTTTGTTGTCCAATCATCTGATTCTGGGACAAGTTTGAAGCAGTTGGCTGTTGCACCATAAGCGGTGGCTGCTGCTGCTGCTGCGGGGGTAATATTGGCTGTTGTGCCATTGGTGTTTGCTGTTGATGAACAACAGCCTGTTGAGGCTGCTGTTGCTGTCTGAGAACTGGCTGTGAATGCTGCTGAAGCATGGGTTGTGATGACTGTTGCATAGCAGATTGTTGATTCTGCTGAAGACTCGAGAGAGATGGTTGCACCGATGTCTGCATAACAGATGATGCTGGCATAACAGATTGCTGGGAAGATTGCAACGGAGTCGATTGTAAAAGGTTCTGCTGCTGTTGCTGTTGCACAAGTTGTGGCATATTTCCCTGCTGATATTTTGGCTTCAAAAGCGAATGTTGCATCTGTTGATGGTACATATACTGCTGGGAATTCTGGGAATTCTGGGATTGCTGCGGCTGCTGCTGTTGGGGAACTACCTGTTGCCTTCCTGGCATTTGCCTTTGAGAATTAGTAAAGACATTGGAGGGTACCCCCTGGCCCATGGAATTCCCTAATGAATTCTGTGAACTTCCGGACATATTTTGCATGTTTGGGTTTTGTCCAACAATACTTGGGATAGGAGTCTGGGTTAAACTGGAAGAAGGAGGTAGTGCGGATGATAAGCCAGACGAACTTTGAACTCCAGAAGGCGGAATGTTATTCTGAATGTTCTGTGATAAAAGTGGTTGGCGTCCTTGAGATTGATTAGCTGGCAACGGCATAGAAAGTGATTGCCCATGATTGGGGACTTGGGGTTGCATACCTTGATTGGGGACTTGGGGTTGCATACCAAAAGACCCTATTCAAGTAAAATAGCAAGAATAAACACCACATAAACAAGCATCAAAACAAGAATACAATAAATGTCATTTGTACTGATCATTTGACCCATTAAATACGAGCGAATAAAGATATCAAGAACGAATCATCTCAGTTAAGAAATGCAGGAATAATTACGAAAAAGAAAGAACGTTTCTCGCAATAAATTAACCATCAAGAAGAAAGCTAGCCAGGAGAGAAAAGGGCAGTTTTCAATAGTTGTTTTTACCTTGATCAGGGGGCCTGTTGCTGTTACCAGCAGAGTTAGATTGTAAAGGATTGCCCGTTGAATTCTGAGACTTGGTCTCCATTGTGAGCATCTTCAGAGAAATTTTCCGTAGATAATCCGACTACAAAAATAAAGATAAAATCCAAGCTAAACTTAGAATACAGTTCTATCCAAAATATGAAGAAAGTTCAAACATAGACAACATTATTTTAAGAAGTCATATATGTAATAGATAGGTAAGTATTTCAGTACGCAAACATTTCATGCACCATAAGAAATAAGAACTCTGGTATTATGGAAGCACCTGGCTTGTGGCTGCAGTATAAATCTTTTCCTCAAACCTTACAGCAATTTTGCTGAGTTCCTGCAATCCATCTTGTCCGGAGAAGGGAAGATGCCTCTTCAATGTATCCATTCTATACATGCAATAAAACCAACATCAGTTACTGACTACCAAAACGGGGGTAGCATTCATAATAGCAAAACTGGATTCGTATACAATCCACTAAAATATGTTTTAAGTTTGAACCCCTCTTGCCATAGTTTAGATTAGATTACGCTAAATTAGACTACCGCTTGAAACAAAAAAAAATCGACAAAGAAAAACACTTACATCTTGTTGACAATTCTTTGCCTTGAATCAGCCTGCAGCTGACTCCTCCAATCGCCGGCATCCATGGCGGCCTCTCCAACTTGAGAAGGCCTCCACTTATTGGTATCCATCGAATCCAATCAACCCAACAAAACTGCCAAAAACAAAAGCACAGGACTGAGCTATTTCAACGAAAACCTACGAAAGGGGCACAAAAATTCGTACAGGAGCTAGCTATTCGGACAACGATACAGTTTATAATTACGCAGGCATTTTTTTGCATCAGAATTGCATTCATTCAAGCTGATTCTAAACACGATTTAGGCGCCATGAAAAATCAAAACTTGCAATTCACATACAACCGAAAACCCGATACGATTTACACAATCAGATCACCCCAACAATAACTAATTTTCCACAAAACCCACGATCGATCAACATCTAAAACCAAAACCCACAAATAATTGACCAAAAAGTTACCTCTTTTCTTTCAGAACAGGAGAGTTGAAGATTGAAAGGTTCAGGTAGCCTGGAGTGAACCAATGGAGAAATTGCAGAACTGGGAAATCGGGGGATTGGGAAAGGACGGAGGGTTCTTGCTCAAAAGCTTCAAACTTCGAGAAGATTGAATGGATTTATGCGTCCGAATGTGGTCTTTTTAGTTTTTAGCAGGAAGGGAGAGGCAACGAAATATCCTATTTTAACCAATGTCTGATTTTTTTAGGTTTTTTTTTTTTTTTTTGAATTTTGAATTTTGAATTTTTTTTGGGGACAAAAGGACAATAAAACCATTGTCCTTAGGATTTTGTACGTTGCCACTTGCCACTTTATCCTAATCCTTCCAGGCTTTCTTGTCAAATCCCAATAGGATAGGAATATTTCCGATTAAGTCAAAAGAACAAAGTAATCTTCTTTATAACTAGTTTCTTGGTACGCGCTCAAATACGCGAATTGATTTTTAAACGCCAATTAATATGTCGGCATTTCATTAGTTTTATGTCTTATATCATCACTTTGAAACTTATTTATTTGTACTAAATAAGAAATTGCTATATATAGTTGGTCTAATAAGTTTGTCTCTAACATTATTGAGGTAAAAAGACTGATTTTCTTATATATTTTTCAATTTTAAATTTATTAGTTATATAACTTTACACTTTATTGCTTTTCAAAGAAGACAAAACAAGGAGGAGATCAATTATTCCTTAATTAATCTACACTTCATTATTCCTCAATTAATCTACTTCTTAACCTTTTTGGTATTAAATTGCATATAGTAAGCTTCGCGTAACTTTTATTTTCATGTGTTAATAAATGGAAGAATCCAAATGATTTCGCATGTGAGTAAATACATGTGGTTGGCATGAAATCTAAATGTCTCTTTAGTTCAATATAACAACCTCTTGTCCTACGAGATTTTGAAACCATTACCTCCTCCATCGAAATGGAGATCAAAAAACCATTAGTACAAAGGTAGAATACGACCAAACTCTAGGTATAGCAATTTTTTCTCTCTGACAAAAGCCAATACATGCATATGACCCTATATCACAGTGACGAAAATCAATTATGTCTATGCACCCCTACCAACATCCTTACCCCTAACAATAGCCAATACATTGATTATTGATATCCTCTACCCTTTTAAAGTCATCACATTTTTATTCAGAGAATGGAGGAGAGAAGCTGAAGGGCTGGTTTGGTATTGTTGTGCTTTGAAAAAAAGCTGATTCTGCTGTGTTGTGAGAATAAGCAATTGTGAAATAAAACAGCAGATTGTTTGGTAAACTTTTTTGTAAAAGTGCTTTTGAAAAAAAAAAAAAAACAGTATTATAGTGTTTGGTAAACTTTTATGTAAAACAAATGTGAAAAAAATCGGTTTTTCAAAGTTGGGTTTTGCAGCTTATTGTTTTTGGCTTTTTTTCACTCAAAACTATGAAAAAAAGCTAAAGCTAAATGTTTACCAAACATAAAAATAGTTCCCAGCTTTTTTCAGAATCATCTCAGTACTAAACCAGGCCGAAGTAGCATACGAGGCCGTGAGAACATGGAAATTCAGACCAAAGAAGCATAAAAACCATATGGAAAAGATGATGATGCATCTTGAACAATTGACAAACTTGATAGAAAAGACGTGATGCGCAAACACGACGTCCTTTCAGGTTGGAGGGGTCCTTGTGGTCTGAGACTTGGTCTCCATTGGGAAGTCACGGCCCAGGATTATGGAAGTACCTGGGTTGGGGCTGCAGTATACTAATACGAACGAGAGAGAGAGAGAGAGAGCTCCCCTATTTCAACCATATAAAACTGATGATAAATCATTCCCAGTCATACAATAAATACAAACAAACATTGCTACTGTTCCAAACACACAAATAACTATTGACAAATAGCTAGAAATCTTTCAAAATGCGGTCCATTCATTTTGCGGTTGCGGTTGTGATTTCTTCGTTTTGTTGAAGCTCGCCAGCCTTTCAACAACGGTGCAATCCACTTTACATATGAGGTGGGGGGAGCTGCCCTTGTTGCAGAGGAGGACCTTGCTTCCTCGGTCTATTTGTATTAATAAAATTTACTATCTGCTTCTCATATAAACTCAACTTGTCTTTCAAACCAGGTGAAATGTTACTCTTGGAAACCTGTAAGATTGATATGAGGCGCTCTAACATGGTTTTGAACATTTTTAGCTTCTCAACCTGCTCTGACTTTGGTTCTTGTGGAAGAGAATCGTGCTGGCAAACAGAAAGAACAGACGTCAGTAAGCAAAAGAATGGCAATTTAAGGAGTAACAACATTGTTGCAGAATCTTATTAGCATTATTGGTGAGGTAACAATCCCATGTAGGCGGTCTACATGGGTACAATAATTACAAGGGAGATCAAGGTAGAATCTATCAAAGAGCAGCACCACAATAACCTAGCAGGGAAAGCCCTGCTTATTGCTAAAAGTTCAAGCAACAAATTATGAGAGAAGAAAAAAATGATTACCTACCTGCTGAAGTTTAGTAGCAATTTTCTGATACATTTCACTTAGTTCAGGTAAGTACTTTTCCTTCATGACTTTGATCTGCAAATGAAAGTTATAAATACAAAGATGATTAGAAAGAACTTTGCTGCAGCTACATGCTTGCCGATACCATCATAACATCAATGCCAATGGAAAAGAGCCCATGCATGCAACCATGAATTCAGAATTCAGACAGCATGAATTCATGTATGCTTGTATCTAATGAAGCAAGTTTTAATTAACTCGCAACCATCGATGGTTGCTTAACAAAGCTGCCCCACAAGGAATCTTAACTAGCATCTAATTCTTCAAAATCCCCATTCAAGGCAATTTTGGCATTAGTATAATTATTTTCCAGTAGCTCTATTCCCACCGCCACGCCAAATAATTTGTATTTTTATATTTAGATGTTGTATGTGAAAGCCATCAAATGGACAAGAAGTCAGGACATCTTACTCTTTGATAGACCTCCTCTCGCCAATCACCCCCATTTGCATATCCAGTCTGAGATGAGGAATATCCAGTCTGAGATGAGGAATATCCCGTCTGAGATGAGGAATCTAGAGAATCTACAAAATATAGAGAGATATATATGCCAATGTTTGCACATAAAATGAAATTTGAACACAAGGGTTAAAAATGAGAAAGAAAAAAAAAAAAAAAAAAAAGCATTACCAGCAGAGTTAGATTGTAAAGAATTGCCCATTGAATTCTGAGACTCGGTCTCCATGGTGAGCATCTTCCGAGAAAGTTCCCGTAGATAATCCGACTACAAAAAGAAAAAAAAATCCATGCTAGACAACATTATTTTAAGAAGTCATATATGTAATAGATAGGTAAGTATTTCAGTACGCAAACATTTCATGCACCATAAGAAATAAGAACTCTGGTATTATGGAAGCACCTGGCTTGTGGCTGCAGCATAAATCTTTTCCTCAATCCTTACAGCAATTTTGCTGAGTTCCTGCAATCCATCTTGTCCGGAGAAGGGAAGATGCCTCTTCAATGTATCCATTCTATACATGCAATAAAACCAACATCAGTAACTGACTACCAAAACGGGGGTAGCATTCATAATAGCAAAACTGTATTCGTATACAATCCACTAAAATATGTTTTAAGTTTGAACCCCTCTCGCCATAGTTTAAGATTAGATTACGCTAAATTAGACTACCGCTTGAAACAAAAAAAAATCGACAAAGAAAAACACTTACATCTTGTTGACAATTCTTTGCCTTGAATCAGCCTGCAGCTGACTTCTCCAATCGCCGGCATCCATGGCGGCCTCTCCAACTTGAGAAGGCGTCCACTTATTGGTATCCATCGAATCCAATCAACCCAACAAAACTGCCAAAAACAAAAGCACAGGACTGAGCTATTTCAACGAAAACCTACGAAAAGGGCACAAAAATTCGTACAAGAGCTAGCTATTCGGACGACGATACAGTTTATAATTACGCAGGCATTTTTTTGCATCAGAAATTGCATTCATTCAAGCTGATTCTAAACACGATTTAGGCGCCATGAAAAATCAAAACTTGCAATTCACATACAACCGAAAACCGGATACGATTTACACAATCAGATCACCAAAACACCAACAATAACTAATTTTCCACAAAACCCACGACCGATCAACATCTAAAACCAAAAACCCACAAATAATTGACCAAAAAGTCACCTCGTTTCTTTCAGAACAGGAGAGTTGAAGATTGAAAGGTTCAGGTAGCCTGGAGTGAAACAATGGAGAAATTGCAGAACTGGGAAATCGGGGGATTGGGAAAGGAAGGAGGGTTCTTGCTCGAAAGCTTCAAACTTTGAGAAGATTGACTGGATTGATGCGTCCGAATGTGGTCTTTTTAGTTTTTAGTAGGAAGGGAGAGGCAACGAAATTTCCTATTTTAACCAATGTCTGGTTTTTTTTTTTTTTTTTTTTTTTTTTACTTTGAATTTTTTTGAGGAGAAAAGGACAATAAAACCATCGTCCTTAGGATTTTGCACGTTGCCACTTGCCACTTTATCCTAGTCCTTCTAGGCTTTCGTGTCAAATCTCAATAGGATAGGAATATTTCCGATTACGTCAAAAAGTACAAAGTAATCTTTTTTATAATTAGCTTCTTGGTACGTGCTCAATTGAGCGAATTGACTTTTAAACGTCAATTAATGTGTTAGTATTTCATTAGTTTTATGTCTTTTATCATCGCTTTGAAACTTATTTATTTGTACTAAATAAGAAATTGCTATATATAGTTGGTCTAATAAGTTTGTCTCTAACATTATTGATGCAAAAAGACTGATTTTCTTATATATTTTTTAATTTTAAATTTATTAGTTATATAACTTTACACTTTATTGCTTTTCAAAAAAGACAGAACAAGGAGGAAATCAATTATTCCTCAGTTAATCTACACTTCATTATTCCTCAATTAATCTACTTTTTGATTTTTTGGGTATTAAACTACATATAGTAAGCGTTGCATAACTTTCATTTTCATGTATTAATAAATGGAAGAATCCAAATGATTTCGCATGTGAGTAAATACATGTGGTTAGCATGAAATCTAAATGTCTCTTTAATTCAACATAACAACCTCTTGTCCCACAAGATTTTGAAACCATTACCTCCTCCAACGAAATGGAGATCAAAAAACCATTAGTACAAAGGTAGAATACAACCAAACTCTAGGTATAGCAATTTTTTTTCTCTCTAACAAAAGCCAATACATGCAGATGACGCTTTATCACAGTGACGAAAATCAATTATGTCTATGCACCCTAACCAACCTCCTCACCCCTAACAAAAGCCAATACATTGATATCCTCTACCCTTCTAAAGTCATCACATTTTTATTCCGAGAATGGAGGAGAGAAGCTGAAGTAGCATATGAGAACATGGAAATTCAGACCAAAGGAGAATAAAAACCGTACGGAAAAGATGATGATGCATCAGGAACAATTGAGAAACTTGATTGAAAAGATCATTCCAAAAAGATCGAATTTGCAGCGAATGTGGACCACGACGCCTTTTCAGGTTGGAGGGGACCCTTGTGGTCTGAGACTTGGTCTCCATTGTGAGTTCACGGCCCAGGATTATAGAATTACCTGGGCTGTGGCTGCAGTATAATAATACAAGGGCTCCCCTAATTCAAGAGAAATTTTTAATTGTGACGAAAACACAGATAACAAATTATGTGTTTTTTTTTATGTAAATAGTGGAAATTTTTAATTTTTAAGTTATTAACTTTTTAACACACATATTCTACCATTTATATAAAAACACATAGTGTACTACCTCGCGTGACGGTCACACTGAAAAATCTCTCCTAATTCAACCATATAAAAGTAAAACTGATGATAAATCATTCCCATAGTCATACAATAAAAGTAAATAAACATTTGTACTGTTCCAAGCACACAAACAACATTATAAAAATGCAGTCTTTTTAATTAATTATTGGCAAATAGCTCGAAATCTTTCAAAATGCACTGTGCAGTGCCCATTGCACTTCCTTTCCCACTGCCCTGGCATTATCAGCAGAATCCGCATACGTTTGACAATAATTTTCCGCGTAGCACGTTGCAAATGACAAATTCTTCCAGCGTCACATGCTTCTTGCCCTTGTTTCTTCTTCTAGCAGCAGCAGCGGCGGGAGTAGCAGCACCACAACGATGACAACGCCCACCCTTCCACCTCACAGCAGCAAACAGATGCACTCAATGGATCTGAGCCAATGTCACTGACAGATGCACTCAAAGCATTAGGTGACATCGATTTCTCCTGCAAGTTCAAAATACAGAAATTTAATTTAAGCACAAGTGAGGGAAGGAAAAGACTAACTTAGATGGTAAGTACTGAAACATCATTACAGCACTCAAAAAGAGAAATATGTAATGAGAACCACTTTACTAACCGCCTTAATCAAGCATTCAAGAGGCTGCTCAGTAACACTCGACTTGCCAGAAATAGTTGACAAAGCATTAACATGACTACCATCTGGTACACTAAATTCAGCAAGCAAAGGAGATGCCGATATCCCAGGGCTGCCAATTGCAAAAGACTGGACTGGTGCTCCCACCCCAGCCGCTTGTTGATGTCCGATATTCCCAGCATTTGGTAGTGAGGAAGGTTTCTCAGAATCCCATGGCATGGGGGATGGAGCCATGGGAGTTGAAGGAGATGGAATGACAAAAGGTGAACCGGCAGTTTGCAATGGTGTTCCAGCTTTCGGGTGAGTCAGTAGATTCTTGTGGTCAACTTGGGGAGGAGAATGTTGCGAAATTTGAGGAGATGCAGCCTGAAGGAGTTGGTTTAATGAAGGAATAGGAAATGGAGATCCTGATTTCAACTGCTGATGAGGATAAGCACGCTGGCCTGAGGACATATGTTGCTGAAAAACCCCTGGCTTAACACCCATCCCCTGTCTCATCTTCAAGTCATTTGCATCATTCATTTGATGAAGCTGTGGCATTTGGTGTTGGTTCGCCTGCATCTGCGCCGGAAGCTGCTGCTTTGCCTGCTGTAACTGTTGCTGAGGTTGCTGCTGCCGCTGTTGCTGTTGCAGCTGCTTCTGTATCATTTGCTGCTGCATTCGCTGTTGATACAGCTGCTTCAGTTGATTCTGAAGCATTTGCTGTTCCTGCTGTTTTAATTGCTGGTGTTGAAGCATACCAGAATTTGACTGAAGGGAGTTAATATTTGGCTGAAGCATACTAACCCCACTCTGTGATGACAAACCATTCATGTTAGCTAGCTGGGGAGCACTGACAGGAGTTTGTTGGATAGATCCCACCGGAACTTGCTGCAAAGAGTTCAGTGCATTTCCCCGTCCTGAATCCAAATTTGTACTCAGCTGCAATGAATTCATCATGTTCTGCTGTGCTGTTGAAACCCCAGTTATCGAAGACATTGAATTTTGCTGCAAACTTGTCATATTGTTCTGCTGCATTGTTGGCACAGAACCTTGTAAATTCATTGTTTGCAACTGCGGGTTCATTTGATTTTCATGAGACTGCACTTGAGGAATTTGAGACTCCGGCTGCTGCATGGAGTGCAAATGAGGTGGGGTGAGCTGCCCTTGTTGCAGAGGAGGACCTTGCTTCCTCGGTTTATTTGTATTAATAAAATTTACTATCTGCTTCTCATATAAACCCAACTTGTCTTTCAAACCAGGTGAAATGTTACTCTTGGAAACCTGTAAGATTGATATGAGGCGCTCTAACATGGTTTTGAACATTTTTAGCTTCTCAAGCTGCTCTGACTTTGGTTCTTGTGGAAGAGAATCGTGCTGGCAAACAGAAAGAACAGACGTCAGTAAGCAAAAGAATGGCAATTTAAGGAGTAACAACATTGTTGCAAAAATCTTATTAGCATTATTGGTGAGGTAACAATCCCATGTAGGCGGTCTACATGGGTACAATAATTAAAAGGGAGATCAAGGTAGAATCTATCAAAGAGCAGCACCACAATAACCTAGCAGGGAAAGCCCTGCTTATTGCTAAAAGTTCAAGCAACAAATTATGAGAGAAGAAAAAATTGAATTGATTACATACCTGCTGAAGTTTAGTAGCAATTTTGTGATACATTTCACTTAGTTCGGGTAAGTACTTTTCCTTCATGACTTTGATCTACAAATGAAAGTTATAAATACAAAGATGATTAGAAAGACCTTTGCCGCAGCTACATGCTTGCCGACACCATCATGACATTAATGCCAATGGAAATGAGCCCGTGCATGCAACCATGAATTCAGACAGCATGAATTCATGTATGCTTGTATCTAATGAAGCAAGTTTTAATTAACTTCCAACAGATGGTAGCTTAACAAAGCTGCCCCACAAGGAATCTTAACTAGCAGGTAATTCTTCAAAATCCCCATTCAAGGCAATTTTGGCATTATTATAATTATTTTCCAGTAGCTCTATTCCCACCCCCACGCCAAATAATTTGTATTTTTATATTTAGATGCTGTATGTGAAAGCCATCAAATGGACAAGAAGTCAGGACATTTTACTTTTTGATAGACCTCCTCTTGCCAATCACCCCCATTTGCATGTCCAGTCTGAGCTGAGGAATCTAGAGAAGCTACAAAATATAGAGAGATATATGTCAATGTTTGCACATAAAATGAAATTTGAACACGAGGGTTAAAAATGAGAAAGAAAAAAAAACCATTGCATGCAGAACATTGATTTGGAAAATTATCCTTCCCAAACAGTTGAAATGTATTTTTTGTAAAACAAAATATAAATATGATTCCATACATCATAAGCAATCTAAGAACAAACAAGAAGCTTCATGAGCCAGTGGAAAAGGACCATGCATGCACTAGATTGGGGAAAATAAATACATGGGCAACGACATTTAGTAAACAGGACCAAAAGCTCTTTATCTATAAACCAATAGAAGCAAAACTGAAGAATAAAAAGTAAAAACCCAAAGGTATGAAACACTTCAGGTGCAATTTTGCTTCCACTTTCTGCTTATGAGGGCAATTACTTTTTTATGGGAAGACTTCAAAGGTTTCTATTTCTTTGTTTAAAAGTAATTGTGGAGTTATCGAGAGGAAATGGGATAACATTAGATCAGAACAGCGTCTCTATCACCATAGCTCATGAAAAGACAGATACAAAAACTAAAATCAAAGGCAACAGAAGCTTCAGCTTTCACCAGTAAATCACTCGAAAGAACTCTGATTGTAAACATGAAGCACAAGAGGTGAAAGGTAAACTTATGGTAACTAAGGTGGTCCGTATACCTAATTTGAGGCGTAGGCGCAAAACTCGTAACTAGGCTATTTATTCTCTTAGTCGGGTTTAATAACTATTTCCTTATCCTTGTGGATTATTATTTGCTATAATTATTTCATTTCCTTGTGGGATTTTATTTTAAGATTATATAACCACGTCAATCTCTATTACTCAACCCTAGTTCAGCCTATGGATATTCAGAATACAAGACTAACTTTGAATTTATTTTTCTTTCAGTTTGGGATTTAGCTTTTTATCTTCCCTCCCCTGTGCTGCAACATACAAGACTAACTCTGTTCCTTTTATATAAATCCAATTACCAAATATAAATCACAAAATTTTATGTCCACTACCACTAGACATATCAACCTCTAAAAAGAAAAGCAAGAAATCAAGAAAGACCGAGGCTTGCTTTAGCACTATAGTTTAATGTGACCAGATATTTGCATAGGACTCTGGTTCTCCATTCCATGATGGTTAGATGCTGAAGTAATGGAAAACAACAGAAATCCGCATGCTTGACAGAGAGGTATGATGCATCTGTTTAAAAGTGATGGTGACAATGAACATGTGGTGGGAAGATGGGACACGCCTAATTGGCAAGATAGCCAGGCATAAAAATTTCTATTGACGAAGTCCAATGCACAGCCATGTTACATTTTACTACAAGAAGTCATATATGGTAAAGACAAATTTCCAAAATTAGACTACTTCCATAGAGAGTCTAGACACCTACATCGGGCAACCACAACAAAATAATATATTTACCAAAGTCATCCAAAAAATGTGTGCCCCCATAAAAACATATAATAAAGACCATTTTCATAACAAAATCAGATTAATGACATAAAAATGACAGTATTACCTATGATACATTGTGATAAACGGACCCAAATGACACATAATGCAAAAGTAAAATAAGAATAAAATAAGATTCCGCCCAAAATGTGCACCTATGATAATCCAGATATCATGAAAGCACATGCATAAAATCAGGAAAGTGCATAAGTGCAAAAATCGTACTCCATGATGTCTCAGGAACAGGTCTCTGAGATTGATATAACTGCTTTTGCTGATCCATTACGTTTTGAGCTTGAAGCATGGTTCCTGATATCTGACCTGCTGCTTGAAGCCTTTGCTGCATATCTCGTTGCAGTGGATTTGACAGCTGTTGCAAACCCATTTGTTGCATCTGTGCAGGCTGTGGTTGAATCTGTGACATCATTTGTTGCTGCGATGCTTGCGGTTGTGACTGCTGTCCTTGAGTCGGTAACATGTTAGAAGCATTCTGATGTTGTTGCTGCTGCACCTGAACCTTGGATTGTTGCAACAAGTGTACAGAGTGCTGATTTGGTTGCATACTAGAATTACCACTTTGAGTTCCAAGGTGCTGCTGTTGCTGTAATCCGGTAACATTACTCTGAGAGCCCAATTGTTGCTGATGGATATTAGAAAGGCTGCTTTGCTGAGCCATTAACTGCTGCTGCTGCTGCTGCTGTTGCTGTTGCTGTTGTTGAAGGTTTAAAAGATTATTCTGCTGGTTTAGTAACCTCTGTTGTTGCTGCTGCTGCATATTCCCAACATTATTTTGTTGTCCAATCATCTGATTCTGGGACAAGTTTGAAGCAGTTGGCTGTTGCACCATAAGCGGCGGCTGCTGCTGCTGCTGCGGGGGTAATATTGGCTGTTGTGCCATTGGTGTTTGCTGTTGATGAACAGCTGCCTGTTGAGGCTGCTGTTGCTGCCTGAGAACTGGCTGTGAATGCTGCTGAAGCATGGGTTGTGATGACTGTTGCATAGCAGATTGTTGATTCTGCGGAAGACTCGAGAGAGATGGTTGCACCGAAGTCTGCATAACAGATGATGCTGGCATAACAGATTGCTGCGAAGACTGCAACGGAGTCGATTGTAAAAGGTTCTGCTGCTGCTGCTGTTGCTGTTGCACAAGTTGTGGCATATTTCCCTGCTGATATTTTGGCTTCAAAAGCGAATGTTGCATCTGTTGATGGTACATATACTGCTGGGAATTCTGGGAATTCTGGGATTGCTGCGGCTGCTGCTGTTGGGGAACTACCTGTTGCCTTCCTGGCATTTGCCTTTGAGAATTAGTAAAGACATTGGAGGGTACCCCCTGGCCCATGGAATTCCCTAATGAATTCTGTGAACTTCCGGACATATTTTGCATGTTTGGGTTTTGTCCAACAATACTTGGGATAGGAGTCTGGGTTAAACTTGAAGAAGGAGGTAGTGCGGATGATAAGCCAGATGAACTTTGAACTCCAGAAGGCGGAATGTTATTCTGAATGTTCTGTGATAAAAGTGGTTGGCGTCCTTGAGATTGATTAGCTGGCAACGGCATAGAGAGTGATTGCCCATGATTGGGGACTTGGGGTTGCATACCAAAAGACCCTATTCAAGTAAAATAGCAAGAATAAACACCACATAAACAAGCGTCAAAACAAGAATACAATAAATGTCATTTGTACTCATCATTTGACCCATTAAATACGAGCAAATAAAGATATCAAGAACGAATCATCTCAGTTAAGAAATGCAGGAATAATTAAGAAAAAGAAAGAACGTTTCTCACAATAAATTAACCACCAAGACGAAAGCTAGCCGGGAGAGAAAAGGGCAGTTTTCAATAGTTGTTTTTACCTGGATCAGGGGGCCTGTTGCTGTTACCAGCAGAGAAATTTTGAGACTTGGTCTCCATTGTGAGCATCTTCAGAGAAATTTTCCGTAGATAATCCGACTACAAAAATAAAAATAAAATCCAAGCTAAACTTAGAATACAGTTCTATCCAAAATATGAAGAAAGTTCAAACATAGACAACATTATTTTAAGACGTCATATATGTAATAGATAGGTAAGTATTTAAGTACGCAAACATTTCATGCACCATAAGAAATAAGAACTCCGGAATTATGGAAGCACCTGGCTTGTGGCTGCAGTATAAATCTTTTCCTCAAACCTTACAGCAATTCTGCTGAGTTCCTGCAATCCATCTTGTCCGGAGAAGGGAAGATGCCTCTTCAATGTATCCATTCTATACATGCAATAAAACCAACATCAGTTACTCACTACCAAAACGGGGGTAGCATTCATAATAGCAAAACTGTATTCGTATACAATCCACTAAAATACGTTTTAAGTTTGATCCCCTCTCGCCATAGTTTAGATTAGATTACGCTAAATTAGACTACCGCTTGAAACAAAACAAAAATCGACAAAGAAAAACACTTACATCTTGTTGACAATTCTTTGCCTTGAATCAGCCTGCAGCTGACTCCTCCAATCGCCGGCATCCATGGCGGCCTCTCCAACCTGAGAAGGCCTCCACTTATTGGTATCCATCAAATCCAATCAACCCAACAAAACTGCTAAAAACAAAAGCACAGGACTGAGCTATTTCAACGAAAACCTACGAAAAGGGCACAAAAAATTCGTACAAGAGCTAGCTATTCGGACGACGATACAGCTTATAATTAGGGAGTTTTAACGAAAATACTGTTCACTCTAACGAAAAACCACATTTTAACGCTAAAAAGTCAATCTGGTATTATGAAAAATCAAAACTTGCAATTCATATACAACCGAAAACCCGATACGATTTACACAATCAGATCACAAAAACACCAACAATAACGAATTTCCCACAAAACCCACGATCGATCAACATCTAAAACAAAAATTGACCAAAAAGTTACCTCTTTTCTTTCAGATCGGGAGAGTTGAAGATTGAAAGGTTCAGGCTGCCCGGAGTGAAACAATGGAGAAATTGCAGATCTGGGAAATCGGGGGATTAGGAAAGGGAGGAGGGTTCTTGCTCAAAAGCTTCGAACTTTGAGAAGATTGAATGGATTGATGCGTCCGAATGTGGCCTCTTTAGTAATAAGTAGGAAAGGAGTGACAACAAATATCCTATTTTAACCAATGTCTGATTTTTTAGGTTTTTTTTTTTTTTTTTTTTGAAATTTGAATTTTTTAGGGACAAAATGACGATAAAACCATTGTCCTTAGAACTACATAAGTTGCCACTTGCCACTTCATCCTAATCCTTCTGGGCTTTCTAGTCAAATCCCCATAGAATAGGAATATTTCCAACTGAGTCAAAAGAACAAAGTAATCTTTTTTATAACTAGCTTCTCAACATGCGCTTAAATGTGCAAATTGATTTTAAATGCTAATTAATGTGGTGACGTTTCATTAGTTTTATGTCTTATGTCATCACTTTGAAACTTATTTATTTGTACCAAATAAGAAACTGCTATATATAGTTGTAATAAGTTTGTATCTCTAAGATCATATCCAATGGTTGAGCCACAAGTCAAATTTTTTAGTCCGGAAAATTTAGCTTTTAACCCAGAAATAGTTTTTTTGCTCCAACCGTTCTAGCTTAAAATTTTAGTCCGAGATTATTAAAGAATGAACTTAGGCTATTTTTTTTGTTAAATTAAATTTTAAAAAAATAAATAAATATGTAAACCATCGTAAATTAATTTTATAAACATTTTAATCTAAAAAAAATTAAATTCCGATAAATATTGGGGAGAGTCCACTCCGATTTCTGAGCTAAATTTTGGGGGGAATTTGGCATTGGTTTAGCATTTAGCCTAAAATTTCCTCTTGGTTGGAGTGGGTTTGGGGGAAAATTTTGGGGCGGCTTTTAGCCCACCATTAGAGTTGGTCTAACATTATTGATGTAAATAGACTGATTTTCTTATATATATTTTTTTAATTTTAATTTTAAATTTATTAATTATATAACTTTACACTTTATTGCTTTTCAAAGAAGACAGAGCAAGGAGGAGATCAATTATTCCTCAATTAATCTACTGCTTGACCTTTTGGTATCAAATTTTATATAGTAAGTGTCACGTAATTTTCATTTTCATCTGTTAATAAATGTAATCCAAATGATTTTGCATGTGAGTAAATACATGTGGTTGGCATGAAATCCAAGTGTCTCTTTAGTTCAATATAACCTCCCCGTGTCCCATGAGATTTTGAAACCATTACCTCATTAATGAAATGGAGATCAAAAAACCATTAGTAGAACGGTAGAATACAACCAAACTCTAGGTATAGCAATTTTTTTTCTCTCTAACAAAAGCCAATACATGCAGATGACGCTTTATGACAGTGACGAAAAACAATTATGTATATGCACCCCTACCAACCTCTTACCCCTAACAAAAGCCAATACATTGATATCGTCTACCCTTCCAAAGTCACCACATTTTTATTCAGATAATGGAGGAGAGAAGCTGAGGTAGCATATGAGGCCATGAGAACCTGGAAATTCAGACCAAAGAAGCATAAAAACCATATGGAAAAGATGATGAAGCATGAACAATTGACAAACTTGATAGAAAAGATGTGATGCGCAAACACGACGCCTTTTCAGGTTGGAGGGGGCCTTTGTGGTCTGAGATCGACTTGGTCTCCATTGTGAATTCACGGCCCAGGATTATGGAAGTACCTGGGTTGTGGCTGCAGTATACTAATACAAGGATGGAGGGAGAGACAGAGAGAGTAAAACTGTTGATAAATCATTCCCATAGCATACCATAAAAGTAATTAAACATTTCTACCGTTCCAAACACACAAACAACGTTATAAAAATGCAGTCCGTTAATTATTGGCAAATAGCTAGAAATCTTTCAAACTGCTGTCCATTCATTTTGCGGTTGCGGTTTCTTCATTTTGTTGAAGCTCGCCAGCCTCTCTACAATGGTGCAATCCACTTTACAATGCACCCACTGCCCATCGCACTTCCTGTTCCACTGCCCTGGCATTATCAGCAGGATCCGCATATGTTTGACAATATTTTTCTGCGTAGTACGTTGCAAATGATATAAGTTCTTCCAGCGTCACATCCTCCTTGCCCTTGTTTCTTCTTCTAGCAGCAGCAGTGGCAGGAGTAGCAGCACCACACCGATGACAACGCCCAGCCTTCCACCTTGCAGCAGCAAATAGTATCGGCAATCCCATTTTCTTACGGTAAACTTCTTCCCATTTCAGTGTACTACATTTGGGGCAACCCTGAACACATAAGAAGACACATACAGAGACTCGTGGTTAATTGCGTAGATTTGGTGCCCTAATATGGCAGAAGAACACAGTTCATTAAATAAAATCTGAACAGGAAATGTGGATAATCAAACTGCTAACAGTTACAAACTTAGCCAAATTTTTGCCTGAATAATCCTTAATGTAGAAATCCTGATTATATAATTAATGAGAAATGATATTCTTACTTCGTAGGGGACGCCATGGGTAAAGAGACCTTCTCTAGGTAGAGTGCGTCCGTGGTGATAGCCAACTCGGCGGGCACATGGTCTGAGACCAAACCGTTTATCAGACGGTTCACGTCCATACCTCGTTTCCTTCTTGCGTCCAGGATTGAGAATGCGTTGCCTCCCTTTTCCGAGTATACGATCGGCCCCAGGGCCAGTGCGGTAACCAGTTCGGGAAACTGTGCCTGTCGTAGGCTCACGAGGCAGTGAATTAAACAGAACGTCTGCTTGTGCTTGGACATTATTGTGGTCTTTGTTGTCGCTAGAAGTTGCATCAACATTAGTAGCAGCGATGCTTCCAAAAGTTCTGTTGATACCCTGAATACTTTTCTCATTAATATTCCCAGTCTTTCGAAGCATACAACGAATGGAAGCAGCCATTGCCATTGCCCTGCCTCCATTTAAGAAAAAGGAGTTGTGAGTCCCAGAAAAATAATACAATCAAACGATCAGAGAAAGAAATATAATCCCAAAATGCATCATCCTATTGATCCAACCCATACTGATTACAAGCAAAGAAAATAATAGCAGAGGAATTCGCAAGTAAACCGATGGTGGGAAATTTACCTGGTTGGTTGAGGCTCAGGCAAAGAGGGGCTCAGCGTAGGGTTTCTGGTGAAGCTCAGCTAGGGTAAAGAGAAATTTAATTCAATCCATCTTTTGTTATTCTACCCCCCAACTTTTTTTATTTTTTTAATTTAATGTGAATTATCTTTTCTATTAATTTATAGAAGTTTTTTTATATGGGTCCAAAGTAACTAAAAATTGGACCTATTTCAAAAATCAAAAGTCATTAAAAATTGGAGCTATTTCAAATTTTTCCTAATTTTTTTTTATACAATTAACGTTAAAGACAAAATATATTTAAAATTAGGCCAATTTTTTTTGCGATCCTTGTGATAACACTCCACTTTCAATGTCACCCTCGTGGTGAAAAAGTTGTTAATTAAATCATCGTGGTGAGGGCTATTGGCAATTGGGGTCCAAACTCAAACTTCCATTTTAGTCTTCGTTAAACAAACTCGTGTGACTATCACGTGGAGGTTCAAATTTGTTATTTCAATATAAATTATATCTTATGCCATGGACATCTAGTACGACTTATGTTTTATCTAAAATTGGACTTCACGAAAAAGAAGCTTGAATGCCGTTCTTGGGTGAAACTAAACCTATAAATCCACGTCAATGGCCAGGAGTAGAGGAGAAGGTGAAGTTGTGCCTAATTTCTTAGGTATGGTTTCGTTTGGAAATCATGATGAAGTGTTCTCTCAAATTCAAAGCAACACTAAAGTGCAAGATGAAGTTCCCAATAGCCTATGATAAATTGAAATTCATAACCCTGATGCAAATAATGACGTGGATTTACATGTTTAGTTTCACCCTACAATGGCGTTCAAACTTCATTTTTGTGAAATTCAATTTCTGTTAGATCCTAGCTAAGTTGTACCATTTACTTGGCATATTATGTAATTTAAAATGAAATGACGAATTTGACCCCTTCACGTGATAATCGCGGGAGTTTGTTTAATAATAGACTAACGGAAGTTTGGATTTGGACCTCAATTGCTAACAAGTCTCACCACACGAGGATTTAGTTGACAACTTTTCCACCACAAGCATGACATTGAAAGTTGCACGTGACCATAGGGACCATGAACAAAATTTAGCCTTAAAATTAAATAAAAATTTATCAAGGTCGGAATCAAGGAAAACTTCCTTTTAGACGTATCTTTACACATACTTTTAGCCGTTAGATTAACCCAATTTTAACGGATAAGATGACATTGAACTATTGACTTTTTCTTTTTCCTTTTTTTGTTGAGAAAAACTGACTAATGTGAACTCATATATGAAATTAATTTTGCTTCCCGTGATTGTCAAAATTATTAACAATGTTTTAATTTCTTCACTTTTCTAGCTATTGAAGAAAAATAAAAGCTATCCTTTGGTTGCTGCTCACCCTGGTCTTACTGGTGTGGTGCCACCTTGCCAACGCCGCTCGCCATATACAATGGTGACATGCAATTAGCAGAATTTTTTTCCCAACACTAGTGTAGATTCAACATCAGAATCGCCACTAACATTACTACTTAATGAAATTTTACCACGTTTAGAAATTGGGTGAAATGGGGACATGGGGGCACCGACATGAATCAGATAATTGAATACATACAACCTTTCTTTCTAATAAAATTACCATGAACTTAACCTAGATTAACAAGGTTTTGTGTTGGAGTTTATGATATGGAGAAATTAGGTTCTCATCCTTCCTTTTGCTACTCCTTTGATTAAAACCTTATTCATTTTCATTTTTTAATCAAGATCATTGGTATTAATAACATCATTAATTATTTCAATAATAAAATATTTTTTATTTCTAAATATATTCATTTAATGTTAAAAATGTTACAATTAGTATATTTATATTTATGGCTAAATTTTTTATCGTATATTTTTATTTTTAGTTTGTACCCATTTTTAATTTGCAACCCTTTTTAATTTGTTCCAATTTTCTTTTCAGTTTTAATTTGTACCCATATATTAATTTCTTTTTGTGCCCATATTTTATAAAGTTTTATTTGT